CAGGCAGATCTGTACATGACCACTTACTTTTCATGAAATTTATTATTATTTATTTTATTATAATTTAGGGTTAGGTTAGATGAAGACACTTTCTGGGCCGAGCGCTGCGGCTAGGACAGGTTAGGGGGCCGAGCGCTGCGGCCACGGGTTAGGTTAAGTTAAGACACTTTCTGGGCCGAGCGCTGCGGCTAGGACAGGCTAGGGGGTCGAGCGCTGCGGCTACATGTCTTACACAGAAGCCCGGTTCATAGATCGAGGTGTAGCTGTGATTTGACAGCTGAGCTGTAGCTAGTTAAAGCTGTCTGAGTTTTCTTGTCAATGAACACAGCTAGATCAGACCTTAGGCGTGACTTCAAATCGTAGCAAAATTTCAGCTGATCCAAATCATACCTCAGCTAGGATTTAGCTCCGACTTCACAGCTAAATCACAGCTAATGGGAACAAACTGGACGCCATTATTTACAGAATCCAAATGAAATGGGAACATTTATTCAGCCATTAAAATGAAAACATGAAAATCGAATATAATATTTTGTTACATTGTTGTACTTTTAGTTTATCAAATAAGAACAGTTAATTTTGTTTACAAAATTAAATGATAATTAAAATGTAAATTGTTCATAAACAAATGATTAAAAATAAATTAGTAAATTTGATTTTTCAAAAAAAAAATTTTGGTGTTTGAGGAAATGAAAGGGAGGGGGGGGGGATGAATTTTTATCAATAAATAAATATGAAAATTGCATAATGCATATTCATCTACAGAAAATTAAAAACTTTACTCTTTGTTTAGACAAATTTGTCAACAAAATATGATGAAATTTTCAGAATTGTGTATCTGGAAGTTTTGTCACACAAATTTTTTGTTTGTAAAATTTTGTCCTTTTTTAAAAGACGACTTTATTAAAGAGATCGCTTTTTGTGCATATGCCCAGTAAGATTTTATTTAAGCTGTCAAATCGCTATGACTTCGCAGCTTGGATTACAGCTTAGCTGCGACTCGAAGTCACAGCTATCAAATGCTATGACTTGAGACTAATGAACGAGGTGTGATCCTAATTTTGCCAATTACTTCTAAAAAACTATATCTAACAAGAAGTGCTTTACATTGCTAAAATGTACATGTAAAGGGCTACAGAAAAGCATAAGTGAGTTAGAGCGGTAAAATCAAAGCTTAGGGCGTTGCGACAGTTCAAAGTCAGCCCTGTCTTAAAAATTGATGAGACTGTTTATAAGGAGGCTGAATCTATGTGGACTCCCTTTGTTTACAAACACAGACTTAGAATTTGTATTTAACCTAATATACAGGGTGTCCCATATCATATTAGATCGTCAATCGGTCTAAATTACGATTTTCTGGACAAATCAGAAAATTTAAGAAGAATGAATCATTTTGAAAATTTAAAGAAGGCTAATATAAGAATTTTATTGTGAAAAATGCGAGGTTTTTCTAGTATTATGGGTTTATTTTGGCGTTGAAACTTGGAGATAATCTAATATGATATGGGACGCTCTGTAGATTAACGTAAAATTAAGATTTCAGAAGTGAATTTTAGCCGTTTTACTGCACAATAAATAATTTCAGACAGCACAATAATGCCTGAATGCATAATAATTTGTGATATCGATATATAAAGATCTTCGAAATATATCTCTTGGTCTTCACTTTTGTATTTTGACAGATGTAAGAGTGGTTGAGAACTAAGACATACAGGGTGTCCCACGAAACATGAAATTTAATATATCGTTATTTTTAGTCAAAAAAATCTTTTGCTTCATTATCTTTTACTTCGAAATAATATAACATGACTCCCATATAATATTTCTTTTGATATTTGGTATCAAACAACTTAACAAATTATGGAAAAAGACATTCTAAACTATTCACCAACTGTCATGTTTCGTGGGACAACCTGTAGGAAAAGATATTAAGAGAGGCGTATTCAGATTTTCTTCCCAGGAAGGGCTTACATTTCTTTTTCTTTTTAGGGGGGTGGGGGTGCAAAATTAGAAGTGCCAGGCAAAATCAATAAATTGATTAAGCGACTGTATAGTATTTACATATAAACTACATACAAACATACAAAATTTTTAGATTATTAAATATGAAAATTTCGAAGTTTTAACTGAAGACGATATTTACATGGGTCTTTAGTCTATTTTTCTAGTCTTTACTTTCCAAAAGAAATCTTTTCATGCAATTATTTCCAAACCAAATAAAACCTTATGGCCCAACCTGTCGTCGTTGCCTTAGTCTGTTCCACTTTAGTATTTATTCACTTTGATTCAAAAAGGAATTGAGTCTTTGCCAAAACTCAGATTTTCCAATATTTGTCATGTGTTTGCAACCTGGTGGTGTAAACCTTGATATTTCAAACTTTGGTTATCTAATCCAACAGAATTTAAAAATTTAAAGATCAAATGTCTACAAAATTGGATTGCCAAGGCTAGCACGCAAATCTGATCCTTCAGTAAAAGTAAATTCAACCTATATGAAGCATAAAGTCTGACCGCGTCAACCTTGTTGCACAGGCTAGTCCTGTACATTATAGAGCTAGGTAAAGTACAAACTGGGACCGGAAAGGTTAACCCGGCTCGGAAATTCAAGTGTACTACGCGGCGGCCCGTGCTAGGGATTAGAAAATCCGAGTTTGTGGCAAAGACTTAATTCCCTTGTTACCTGAAGCATAGCCCCGGGGCAGACTAGGTATCCGAGTAGATAAACTGAGTTTAGGACTAAACCAACAAACAGGGTTATTCCGAGCAATGCCGCGTACCCCCATCTTAATTAACAAATCAGTCAATATTAGACAAAAAACTTTTAAAAATTCGAACATTAAAAACTCAAGATAGAACAAACATTTATCAGGTAAAGGTTTAAAGGTTTAAAGGTTTAAAGGTTTAAAGGTTTAAAGGTTTAAAGGTTTAAAGGTTTAAAGGTTTAAAGGTTTAAAGGTTTAAAGGTTTGAAGGGTACTGCTTGAAATCGAACATGCCACTCTATAACTTCTTGAAAGCTCACTGTAAGCTATGAATGAAACCTATGCAACAGTACCTGCACGATTTTGTGACTTTGTGACTTAATTTTTTATTTCTAAGCACAAGTATGAGAAATGCAAATTAATCTGGTTACATAGTAGAAATTCAACATATTTTGAATCTTCTTAATACTGTACCACTTAATTAAGAGGGATTATGATGGAAAAATATAAGATTTCAATACTTTATGCAATTTACTTAAAACCACATTGACAGAATAAATAAATTACTATCTAGTATCTACCTAGTATAATAAAATGGTTCGGCTGGCGTAACATCTTCCGAAATGGCATCTCCTGCCCAAGGTCTGTAGAAGAATAATGCCATTTTAGAGTCCGTAAATATCTCTTTTTGGTCCTTAAATGGTCACTTGAGCCCACTTTGGATTCACTATCTTTTCTGCTGTATTACGACATTTTTGAATTAATGAAGAACCATTTTTTTCTGAAAAATATATACATTTTCGGTTCAATTGTTAGAAAAATAAGAGAAATCCATGGCTGATTTTGTTCAATTATCTTAAAAGTAGGAGGGAAGCAATCATAGACAGAAAAAATGTCTATTTGAGCAGAAAAAAAAACGTTTCTCGCAAACAAGTTATTGTAGTATGTCGGAGAGAATAAGTAAAATTTCTATTATATTTTCTACAGTTAAATCCATTAAACTATTAAATAGGAAGATGACTGAATTGACCCCAAGCCGTGAATTGACCCCAAGCTGTGAATTGACCCCAAGCTGTGAATTTCAAATAGTACATTGAACACATGAAACAATTTTCCAGTTTGAATTAGTTGATTTTCTAGTTACTCTTGAAACTATTTGCTTTACATGCAATTTCAAAAGCACATAAGATTGCTGTAAATGTCGTTTTCCTATTCCACAAGTTTCTGAATCTCACTGTATCGTAAAGACAGAAAATACATGTTTATGTATATAAGTATAATGTTGTATAGTACCTCTATACCACAACAGTGTTTATGTAATGTCCATGAGAGGATATACTCAAGCTCACATCCTGTCTACCTGTCTACCTGTCTATCTGTCTATCTGTCTATCTGTCTATCTGTCTATCTATCTACTTATCTATATATTTGTATATTTGTATACCTGCCTGAACAAGCCAAACCACCCGCTTTAGGCCTGGTTCTCTTGGCTTGGGAGAAGCCAATAGATAGATAGATAGATAGATTTATATATACAAAATACGTGTATACAACTATACAGGGTTACTCACAAAGGATGAGACTTCAGAGACGACTGAACGGCATGTATATACTATACAGTATATTTCCTTATGTCCATGATTCCCTGCAACTGTAAACTGGTGTCTTTCCTTGCAATTTTTAACATAACATAAAACAGAAGACTTAATATAACCTTGGGACTGTCATATTATACAAGTTTAAGGTCGTCTTTGCAGTTGCATTCTTTGTGGGTAACCCTGTAAGATGCATATATATCTATATAATAAAACCAGATTACTTTTTCAACAATTTTCTTTCTAAATTTTTTTTTGCCACGGGCAACGCCGGGCCCTTCAGCTAGTATATATATATATATATATATATATATATATATATATATATATATATATGAATATATATATATAAAGTAAAACAAGGCAGTCATATATATGTTGCGCTAAAATTTTTTTTTCAATTTTTTGAAGTATTTTTTTAAAAAACTTTTTTTCAATTTTTTTTTCCACGGGCAAGGCCGTGCCCTTCAAATAGCCTATATAATAAAACAAGACATTCATATATATGTTGCATAAAGCCGGCCAAAAGGCTGGACCGATTGGGCTGAAACTTTTTGTGAACACTCATGGGTGGCCTGGGTGTGTTATAGGCTAACAAATTTAAGAAAAAATATTTTTCAAAATTCTAATTTTTTTTCCGGTAGTATATCTTATAAATAAAGCACTTCGCATATATTCATATGTCAGCTATAGCTTGCCAAACGGCTGGACCGAATGGGCTGAAATTCATTGAGTGAACCCATGGGTGTCCGGGGAGTAATGGCTAAAAAATGTCAACGTTTTCTTTTTTTAAATCGATTTTTTTCCTAAATTCAAAAAAAAAATTCCACAGGCAATGCCAGGTACTTCAGCTATTAATGTATAAATTTGTATAGGTGTTCCGTAACCCTACATGAATAGAAGAGGTCCATTGAAATGTTAATCTGATCAATGATGTGGAAGATAAAGTCGTTTTTCTGATTTTCAAAAGTGTTTAATTTTAAAAATGTTTCCATTGTTTCTGAAGTCAAAAATACGCAGAGAAACCATGCAAATTCAAATAAAAAACTTCAAAAATTCAAAAACATTGGTGTTTAATTCATACTTGACCAAACAAAGCTTTATAATTTTATGAGATCCCAGCTCAGCTCAAATAGTTAAAGTTTATAAAGCAAAAGGTTAACAACATCAGGTTGCGAAGATTAATGGGTTAGAAAGTTAGATTATGCGGTGAGCGTTCAGGTCCTTTTTGATAAATAGTAGTTTATAGCCCCGACCCGGATACCATGTATATTGTATATCTTTTGATGAATTGTACTTTATAGCCCGGACCCGGATACCATGTATATCTTTTGATGAATAGTACTTTATAGCCCGGACCCGGATACCATGCATATTTTTTGTGTAAATAGACCCACTGTTTTAAACCAACTGAGAGTATATAAATCAGAAACCATAACTGCAGTTCATTGTGGTTACAAATATCAAAAACCAGAGAACCAGAGCTAATCACGCCTTTCAAACAGAAATTTAAGAAATACTTTTTAACAACAGGGTTGAAAATGAATAGAGTAGGTTCACCGAAATAGGGTCAAACGACTTAGGGTCAAACGACCCAGGGTCAAACGACACAGGGACAAACGACCTAGGGTCAAACAAATTAGGGTCAACCGACAAACGGTAAAAAACGCGACAAAGTGTAAAAATGGAGAAAAAAAAATATTTGATGAATTATTTCAGGGCTAGGTTAATATAATTTCTGGGCTGAGCGCTGCAGCTAGGACAGGCTAGGGGGCTGAGTGCAGCGGCTAGTAGTTCAAATGAACATAAAACATAACATAATAATATGTATTATTTCAAGGTTAGGTTAGGTTAAGACAATAATTCAAATTAACCAAAAATAGTCTAAATGAAATTTTGCCCGTTTGTCGCACTTTTTGACCCTATTTCGTTTTACCCTTCATTGCGTTTTGACCGTTTACTCGTTTGACCATACCTAGGTCGTTTTACCCTATGTCGGTGAATCCTTATAACTATCATTTTTCGTGGGACACCCTGTATATAGGCATGAGCAGTTTAGACTGTTTTTTAAATATTCTTTTCGTTTCGTTAACAATGAGATAAAATCTGAAAGCTAAAAGATCGTTTTTGAAAACTATCGCTCCTGAAAGGGATGTAACTAAGTTATTATAGTTGTTAAGAATAATAAACGAAACGATCGTTCCGTAAAACTATAGTTTTCAAAAATGGAAAAACGATTGTTTTGGAATAAAAGTGACAATCTAAAAAATGAAAATATGGTAGAATTTAAAATAAAATTTTTGTTTTTTCAATTTAAATATTGATATCTTGGAAAATGGGTCTCTTCGACTTAAACAAATTTAAGATGTTTTTTTTTCAATTTAAAATATCGAAAATTTGAACATAAATACATCAGTACCTCTAAATACATGCAGTATCTGTAAATACATGCAGTACCTATAAATACATGCAGTACCTATAAATACATGCAGTACCTNGAAGGCAGGAAAGGTGAGGAACGGTTCCTAAGAAAATTTTAAGATTTTTTTTTTATCTGATAAGCAAAAAGTCTTTCTTCTAATAATGTCCAGGCGCTTTAAGTTTTACCTTTAAAAGATTATTGAATGTTTCAATGCCTTAACATGGCCAGGGTCTTCTAAGGAACGTCATATCAAAGAAAACATTTATTTCGAATTTCCTTTTTATAAAGTTTAAAACTAAATCCCAAAGTTTCAGACTCTTCGTTGAACAATGGCTTAGGTTGGATATTAAGCAAGTTTTCATTTTTACCCTGCACTGCAATCTACAAATATCAAGCTTAGTTTGGTGGCTCAGGTTGGATATTAAGCAAGTTTTCATTTTTACCAACTGCAATCTACAAATATCAAGCATAGTTTGATGGCTTAGGAATGACAAATCAAAGCTCCATTTTGTATGTCACTTTACAGATAGAAATACAACGGTATCGGTATCGTTGACTCCACTTTATGCATACAAGCCCCCCCCCCTTCCTTGCACTCTATTGCAACCCCCCCCCATCTTTCATAAAAATCAACCACCCCACGTGCACTGCCTCCTTTTTCCCCTCTAGCCAACCCTCGTCCACCCTATTCTGAGGCCTACCCTTGAACAAATCAGCCTCCAGTAACCAAGGACATTTATATAGGACATAGTCTTCATAAGTCAAGGACTATATATATCAAAGACATATTCTTCATAAACCAAGTAATCTATATATCTAAGACATATTCTTCATAAGTCAAGGACTCTATATATTTAGGCCAAGATTCTGCATGTAGGATACTATCCTTCATAAATCAAGGACTCTATATATACAATGTTAAAAATGAGCGCCATTTTCTTCAATGCATGATTCAGCTCTAGTGCGAAAATTGATCAAAACGACCTTAGAAGTATTTCGTATTTTGAAGAGTAATAACTCTTTAACGAAAGTAGGTATCGACGAATTTTAGAAACTCTGAGGTAGCTCTTGACCTTGACTATCTTTGTTCAAAATTAATTTTATCCAACCCGCCTACCCAAAGAACGGTAGAACTTGCACGTGAAACGTTTCATCGAAATACTGGTGTATAGGAATACTTCGAATTTGTGCTTTTTTTCTGCAATACATGTTGCAGATATTTTGTTCTTTCGCAAAACGTTCATATTACAGTTGCTCAAATCTTTTTTACAGATTGTAAAAATTCCAAAAATGACAGAGAAATAAAAGCTGTTTATAAATTGTCAGAATTATACCGACACACTGTACTGATATATCTTATATATATATAAGGATTCAACGCCTAAATATGTGAATCTCTTTCTGACTATTCTTTTGTATAGTCTATGTTTCACCCTCAATACACCCTCCAGCCCCCCCCATAACCTCCATACCCCCCGCCCCTCCAATAACCTCCCTTGCATCCCCTAGGATCTGCCATGCAATCTATGACTGTCAGTTTGCTCTCTACCCTCTACCCGCTAAAGTACACTACACACTGGAACCAAATGAATGTATCAACATGTATTCTACACTTCTTAGAAGGTTACCAACAAGGGATGAGACTTCACAGACGACTGTACGGAATCTGTATTGGCTGTTATGTTAATGATTCTCAAAAACTCTAAACCTGTTTTTTTTCTTTGCCAAATTCATTAAATACGCCATTAAAAGACTTAATTTAACCTTCGAATCGTCTTATTTATACAGTTTGATGTCGTATTTATTGCCTCATCCTTTCTGGGTAACCCTGTACAGAAATATTTACTTACGAACACTGGTGTAACTTGTAAACAAACATTTGCTTTATATGCCTTGGATTCTTTACACATATCATCTATATATACATTTGGCTTGTCTGTCTGTTTGTATCCAATAAACGTCAAAACGGCTGAACCGATCGGGCCCATAATTTTTGTGGGTCATCACGTGACCACAGGGAAGGTTTATGAATGATAACATTTTTTTTAAATGTGTTTTAAAGGTTTTTAATTTTGTAAAAAATTTAAATTCTTTAGAATGTAAACAAAAAGAACATGTTCACAATTTAAATAGAAGATGGGCGCGAAGCGCCCTAAAAGCTTAGTTTATTTATACTTTATACAGTGCTCACCAGAAAGGATGAGACTGTGAAGACGATCTGAACCTCATATTCCAAGGTTGAATTAATTCTTCTGCCCTATATATTGTTGTTTGAAGTTCAATTTTATGATTTGACAAAGACTGAAACAGTTTTAAGTATACGATTTCCGTACATTCGTCTTAAAAGCTGTAATGTACTTCCGTGTGCAGTGTAGGATTCACTTCTGTGCTTCCTAAATATGTTTAAAGTCAGAACCTTTTAAATGTTAAGTTTTGATATTGCAGAATTCGAACAAAAAGTGCGAAATGTCCGCATCCCCGAAATCAAATTCATCAAGCGGTGACGAAAAGGTATTTTTTCAAAATCGTTTTATTTTTCAAATGTTATATAATATGAAATGTCTTCAAAAAATCTAAATTTTAAACAAACCAATACAAAGTTCTTTTTAACCAAAGAATTTCTTTTTTGATCTTAACAATGTTCAACAACAAGTTTAACTATAAAACTTAAGAAAAAGTTAAAATTTTAGAAGAAAAATCTTTAAAAATATAAAATTATTTTTAAATAAAATCTAAAACAAAGTTTGCAGAATTGCCTTTTAATTATGAACAAAAAAATGTTCTGTTTGTGTTTCAAGCTGAAACAATATTTTAAATAGAGTTTCATCGGAATTCCGGTTTACGTACGGCTATAATCCGAATTTTTTCCTTTTTGGGCAAACATCCGAAAATCTCCATAACTTTTTTCACAAAGTTACAGAAATAGAACCAATTAATTACAAAGTTTAGCTCTCCGGATAAATTTTCCGGTTGATTTCATTTCCGGAATAGAGATTTTCCCGGAATGATGGAAACACTAATTTTAGTCCCCAGTATCCTCTCCGACCTTGGTTCCGAAACGACGAAGATCCACCAGCAGTTTATTCTCAGGAGCGTTCCAGGTACACTATCAGTTTCTTCTCAGGGGCGTTCCAGGTACACTATCAGTTTCTTCTCAGGGGCGTTCCAGGTACACTATCAGTTTATTCTCAGGGGCGTTCCAGGTACACTATCAGTTTATTCTCAGGGGCGTTCCAGGTACACTAGCAGTTTATTCTCAGGGACGTTCCAGGTACACTAGCAGTTTATTCTCAGGGGCGTTCCTGGTACACTAGCAATTTATTCTCAGGGGCTGTCCAAGTACACCAGTAGTTTATTATCAGGGGCGTTCCAGGTACATTAGCATTTTATTCTTAGGGGCGTTCCAGGTACACTAGCAGTTTATTCTCACTAGCGCACAAATACAGATTAGAAATAACTTGGTTAATTTTGTGGACTTTCAAAACTGTGTTCTGTAAAAGTTTGCTATTATTAAACCATGCAAAGTTAGTATCCTAATTTCCGTTTTTTTAGATCCTAATTGATACCTTTCACTTACAAGCAAAATTTCTTCTAATACAGGGGAAATTAGTTCTAAAACTAACACCTGGCTCATTTATAGTTTTCTAGTTTTGGAGCTAAAATTCCCCATATTATGACAGACAAGGTCCTTTATAATAACAAGGAATTTTCGGTTTCATTTCCTTTTAGCACCTAATCAAAACCTATACTTTTCTATTAGAAAATGTGTTTTCAAAAAACGATGAAAAAAAAACTTTGACACACTGCATGATGATTTAGTTTTTTTTAGAATATTCTTCCACATTCTCCAGACTGGACTTCACAGGTGAAATAAACTTTGTTAAACGGATTGACAGACCTTATACCTTTTGTTTTTTTCGGTCTTATGTAGCAATAAATTTTTTTTCGTTGAAATGTTCCACATTGACGGTTATTTTCGTAAGATAACGATTTCAAAATTGACATCTTTTTCCGTTCGTTAACCCTAGCATAATGGGCTATTTTTGTCTAATATAGATTGTGGGGGGAGGGGCTTAGAGTTGATATAGGGGAGTGAAATACATGTCCCTAGCCCTACTTTTCAAGGCCTGTTCATTAAAAAATAATTAACCCTCTATCTTTAATAGCTAGGGTGCGAGGGAGGATTTTAAAAAAGCAAAATTTGTTCACAACTTTGAAGTTGAAAAAGAGAAATAGTTTAAGCATTCTAATGTCAGCCGTTTTTAAGTTATTTAAAAAACCACAGGGAGGGCTGGTGGAAAACCCCCCCCCCCCCCCCCAACCGTGATAAGGTTAAGAGAATATAGACTTTCCCTATATACTGATATCTTCTATATTTCCAGCTTCCGATAGCGGATTAATCTGAGAATTACAATGCATGATTACATTGTATAATAATGACGTCACAGCCTATTTATAGTCTTCCTCTAAATAGAAACCTGAGTACTATAATTTGTTTACAAAATACTAAATAAAACAAACATTGTTTGCACGCTGTATTGAGTTTATTCAGATACTTAAAGGGACTGCAGTCGTAATTTAAGTTGTCCTTTAATTTATAGACCGGCATTTCAGATTCACAACAATACCCTTTGTCTGATCAAGGATAAATAAAAATCAACTCCTGTTATATCTTTTATCTCCTAGACTAAAAGAATCAACTCCTGTTATATCTCCTACTCATACATTTATTAAATACTAGTATATCTAGGAGATAAAAGAATCAACTCCTGCTATATCTCCTACTCCTATATATTGACTCCTATGTATATCTAGGAGATAAAAGAATCAACTCCTGTTGTATCTCCTACTCCTAAAAGACGAAGATCAGGGTTGTTCTCTGGAGCATTTCAGGTTTAAGTATTACAATTTACAATTTACAATTTACAATTTACAATTTACTATTTACAATTTACAATCCAACGATTTGAAAATCCACATATAAAACCAGATAAATCTCTTATATCTTATTCGTTATGGAGCTAAGAAAAAAATGGCGAAAATTAACATCTAAAAGTCAAGACAAATAAATAAGAGGCTGAAGCTTGAAAGCCGAGTTCACTAATATTTGGTCAAAACCACCAAAATCTGTCTGATTTGTTAAGCATTATTAAAATCATGCAACTTTAGATAACATTTCAGACATCAGAATAGTATTCTTCAATATAATACAGGGTGTCCCACGAAACATGACAGTATGCAGGACGACTTGAATGTCGTCTTGATTTTTGATATAATTTGCTGCGTTTATTGGTCAACCTAATTTTAGAAGTAAATTTCTAGAGATAATAATCACAAAATTTCCCTTGTCCTGCCATTTCCAAAATGTGGTCTGCCTTTTTTGTGCTTTCAATATTGCCCGAGATATGAAGAATTTCGTTCAGATTTCGACAATTTTGCTTTTATTTAACAAAATTGAAATCTGAACCAAACTCTTTATATCTCCGGTAATATTGAAAGCACAAAAAACGCAGACCACTTTTTGGAAATGCCAGGGCTAGGAGAATTATGTGATAATTGTTTAAAGAATCATACATGTTAAAGTAGATAGAAGACTAAATGTCACAAATAAATTCAAATACAAAAGACGACTTCCAAGTCGTCTTGCTATTGTCATGTTTCGTGGGACACCCTGTATAATAAGAAAACTTTTCTTGACCATCTTTCTTCTAAAATTTCAGTGACACCAGAAACCAGGGAGGGTTTATTTTTTAAGAGAAGGCGAGACTTACGAATTAAACAATTACCTTCAATAACGAGCCCGATCTTTTTTCATTTATATCACAACGGGACGGCCAACAGAAAACAAAAAAGAAGACGACCTAAGAGAACAAAAACACAGGGCAATATATAAAAGTTGTAATTGATTTCTAATTTTTAGAATATTCTTCCCCATCTACACACCCACACCATCTCACAATCTGTGGATCAAAACAAGGTAAAAAAAAAAAAAATCCAAATATGATTTTAAGTGATGATATTTAAAAAATGTACAACCTGCGGCTCGTGGATTTCTACAATGCTTTGCAACAAAATGGCCGACTGAAATATAAGTATGACGTTAATTTTAAAATTGTTAGACACGTTGTTTTTTCTTTAACAATCATTTAACAGTTTTCTGATGACTTCTGTATGTTGAAGGTTGAGGAGGTACAACCGCAGTCTCCGGTAAAGAAACGACGACGTTTAAGTCTCTTTTCCGGCGCATTCCAGGTACACAGGAGATAGAGATTTTTATATCTTTAAAAAAGTTGGTTTCAATAAACTTAAGATTTTTTTGATAAATAAATCAAAACGTCTTTTTAATTTTCATATGTACCTTATTAAAGTGACTGAGAAATGAGTATTTTTTTTTGTAACCCTCCATTCATTTAAAAAAAAACCATACCTGTTTCTTAAAGCTACCCTTTAAAAAGTTTTATGAGCAACAATAAGGAGAAATTGTTGATTTTCCAACTTGAAAAGTGTTAAAATCCTGTTCTTACAGCTACTGCATAAAACCCGCAAGTCACTTTTACAAAGACTGAGAGAAACCACAATTAGAAATTTTCAATTCTTAAACAGAAACATAAGGATGCTTTAATCTTTTTCTTCAGACAAAGTTCTAAATAAGGGTACCGCTGTAAATCCGGCATGCCACTTGAAATTACGTCGACAGTCTCTTTTATCCTAAAAAAAATTGTTGATAATATTGAGAAAAAAATCTTTTACTCGTCAGCATATTTTGCCCCACTCTCGGTCCAGTTCTCCACACTCCTCTTCATCTACTCCTTCTCCTACACACAACGAACATAAGGTTATGTATTTTATTTTGAAATTTAATTCTTTTGATAGATGGCCAAAGGTCAGAACTTCTGTGTTCTGAATCTGGGGATCAAGCATTTATCTGAATCTTTTGCAGATATCTCCGGATTAAATTAGCTCCTCTGAGATATCCCGTGGTAATCGTGACTTACAGGAATAACGGAAATGAAGAGATTAAGCATTAAACCTCAAATAAAAAGTTCCCACATTGGATATCTAAATCAAGCATTCAAGATAATCAATATCAACACATATCGATCTCAGATTTATATAAGATCTGTACAGCAATGTAATGAGGAATTTTAAGGACTGAAAGGTTACTTCTATGGAAGATCGTTAGATAAAGATTGAATGAACTGGAGATAAAGGTTTGAAGAGCCTTAGATTATAAACATAGAAACAGCATCTGAAAGAGCGTTAGATTAACGTTAGAAAATTGTTGGAAGAGCGTTAGATTAACGTTGGAAAAGCATTGGAAAACCGTTGGATTAACGTTGGAAAACATTGGAAAAGTGTTAGATTAACGTTGGAAAGGTATTGGAAGAGCGTTAGATTTACGTTGAAAAGGTATTGGAAGAGCTTTGGACTAACGTTGAAAAGGTATTGGAAGAGCTTTGGACTAACGTTGAAAAGGTTTTGGAAGAGCTTTGGACTAACGTTGAAAAGGTTTCGGAAGAGCTTTGGACTAACGTTGAAAAGGTATTGGAAGAGCTTTGGACTAACGTTGAAAAGGTTTCGGAAGAGCTTTGGACTAACGTTGAAAAGGTTTCGGAAGAGCTTTGGACTAACGTTGAAAAGGTATTGGAAGAGCGTTAGATTTACGTTGAAAAGGTATTGGAAGAGCTTTGGACTAACGTTGAAAAGGTTTCGGAAGAGCTTTGGACTAACGTTGAAAAGGTTTTGGAAGAGCTTTGGACTAACGTTGAAAAGGCATTGGAAGAGTGTTAGATTAACATTGGACAAGTATTGAAAGAGCTTTATATTAACGTTGGAAAATTGTTAAAAGAACGTTAGATTGACATTTGCAAATTGTTAGAAGAGCATTAGATTAACGTTGGAAAGGTAATGGAAGAGCATTAGATTAACGTTGGAAAGGTAATGGAAGAGCATTAGATAAACGTTGGAAAATTGTTGGTAGAGCATTAGATTCACATTGTAAAGGTAATTCAAGAGCTTAAGATTAACGCTGGAAAATTGTTGGAAGAGCGTTTGGTTAACGTACAAGTCGGACCAGGACCGACCGACTTAAAATGAACCGGAGTTTACAGTGCACTACTAAGGACGAACATAAGAACATACAATAAAGCTTCAAATAAATAGATTTTTTATTTTAGGCCCTGTCCACCCCCTCCTCCCCCAACAGAACCCCTGTAGGGTTTCCTCCTCCTCAGCTAGGAATACGGTTAAATGAAACCCTGCTACCAGGAGCTCTACAAGATCCAAATTATTATTACAACAAGGTCTAAGAACGGCTTTATCAACAGCTGTGACAGCTTGTCAAACAGATGTTACAGCTTTTCAAACAGCTGTCTTAGTTAAATCAACAGATGTTAAAGCTGTAGCAACAGCTTTAAGAACACCTAGAGTAGCTTAAATAGCAGTTGTGACACCTTAAGGTTTTCGCAATATACAGGGTGTCCCACGAAACATGACAGTATGCAGGACGACTTGAATGTCGTCTTGATTTTTGATATAATTTGCTGCGTTTATTTGTCAACCTAATTTTAGAAGTAAATTTCTAGAGATAATAATCACAAAATTTCCCTTGCCTTGCCATTTCCAAAATGTGGTCTGCCATTTTTGTGCTTTCAATATTGCCCGAGATATGAAGAATTTCGTTCAGATTTCGACAATTTTGCTTTTATTTAACAAAATTGAAATCTGAACCAAACTCTTTATATCTCCGGTAATATTGAAAGCACAAAAAACGCAGACCACTTTTTGGAAATGCCAGGGCTAGGAGAATTATGTGATAATTGTTTCAAGAATCATACATGTTAAAGTAGATAGAAGACTAAATGTCACAAATAAATTCAAATACCAAAGACGACTTTCAAGTCGTCTTGCTATTGTCATGTTTCGTGGGACACCCTGTAGCTGCAACAGGTCTTACAGCATCTGTTACAATTTGAGAAACAGCTATGACATAATAACAGTTATGATATTTTTACCAATTGCTGATCATGCTGTTCTAGCATCAACTGTAACTTTTATTGAATAACAATTCTAACACCCTTTTTTAACAGTAGCTGTAACAGCTTTTACAGTATCCGTTACAATCATTGTAACAAATGTTGTTGCTTTTAGAAATGCGGTTAAGGCTTTAACAAAAAATGTTAACCTTTCACTACAGCTGTTACAGCTTTTATAGTATCTGTTACGGTTATTTAGTAAGAGCTTTTGCAACAGCTAGGACAATAGCAGCAACTTGTTACGCACTTATAAACATTTTTCCACGACGTTTTGTACTATATTTGCCTTTAAATTTTTAAATTAAATTTTAAATTTAGATTTTTAATCTTCTTTTATATTGAACTTGCTGTTGTGTCCGGCGTTGCCCGTGGAATTGAAGAAAAAACTATAATTTTGAAAAAAAATCGATTTAAAAAAATTAATTTGATTTAAAAAAAAGGTTATCTCCAGGTACCAATGGGTTTACTCAAAAAATGTCTGCCAATTTGGCCCAGCCGGTTATAGCAGACATATAATAAAATATATAGATAATCCTTACTATCAGCATTTTTTATTCATTTGTGTAGAATCTCAGTCAAATCTTAAAAATAAATGTCGGTTCAAAAATAAAATAAGACAAAAAGAGGTATTATCATGGATCTATGACTTTGCCATAAAATGCTTCATCTTTTTAAGTATTTGTATACAAAATCTAAATGTTACTCCTATTAAGAATGTATTTAGAAATGAGCTGTTTTGTGATGTATCACTGTAACAGGGTGCCCAACTCTAAATTGTCAAAAATCCACTGAAAGGCAAATTTTTATCCACAAAATCCTCAAAAAATAATTTAAAAAATCCCCAGAAAATCCTCAATTTTCCCTACAGAAAACATCCTTTTTAGAGTTTTTCTAGAGGGTTTCTAACATTTTTTCCTAACTGATGAAATTTCAGATCTCTTTACAGTGCAAATGTCATTTAAAATGAACACAAAAATATTAACGGTCACATTACACACTTCGAAAAAAAAAACCAGTTGCTTACAATTGAGAGCTCATGTTACATACATTGAAAAAAATTGCCATAAACTAATTTTAAGCAAAATATTAAGCCAAAATTCCAAAAAAATGAGTTTATGTCATAGATCCAACAATTTTCAAGATATCGATAACAAATGGGCATGGTGATCAGCAGAATCTCAGGCATCTTTAGATTGACACACACATTTAAAAAAAAATGTTACTTCTAACAGTTGTGATTTTTTATTCTCATGGAAATTTTAATTTTACAGAAAAACTTAATTTCTAAAAGTTGTCCAGATTGACAATACACATCTAATACCAACTGCCAATATTTAAACTTTTAAAAAATGCATGAAAATCAACTTCCTTAAAACATTACAGGAAATCTTTCTTTTAATTTCAAGACATGTTTTTCATTAATTTTTGACAGAATATCAGAATCAATATTAAAATCCCCAGAATATCTACAAATCCCCAAGGGGTTTCTAAATCCCCAGATATGGCATTTCTGGGGATTTAATCCACAAGGTTGGGCACCCTGCACTGTAAGTTAATGTTTAGGGAGTTGCCATTCTATGTTGCGCGCACATGCTCCGTAAAATTCCAAAACAGAGAGGGGGATTGAATTTTGTAGATCCAGAAATTAGTATTTATTTAGGGTTAGGTTAGGTTAAGACACTTTCTAAGCCGAGCGCTGCGGCCACATGTCTTACATTTAAAACCCCACCAGCTGCCAGTCTCTACGCAGGCATCCCACAGGTATTATTTTTCTGGATCTACGAACTTCAATCCCCCTCTCTCTCTTTGGAATTTTACGGGGCATGTGCGCGCAACATAGAATGGCAATTGCCTAATGTTTATTATAAATAAAAATATAACTGTTAACATATTTTAATTATTACTTCTCTCTATATAAGGCTTGTCTGTCTGTTTGTTTATTTGTATCAATGAACTCCATAACGACATAACCGATCGGGTGAATAGAACTATATATACTACATCTATGTTGTATTTTCCAACATACAAAAAAGTTGTTGAAGAAAAAAATGTGCTTCAATTTACCGAAAGTTTTGAGGTCGGAATGTGCGGAAACTGAGAGGAAATGAAAAAGCAAGAGGAAATTAATTTTACAAAGATGTTTTTAACTTTATAAGGACTCTTACACTACCATTTTATGGGGTTTTCCTTGTTTCCATTAATTTTTGTTTTAAGGAACAAATCATTTTCTCGTAATTTAGCAGTGAACAGCACACTGGTCTGTATTGAAGAACTTTTGTAAACAGAAATTAAAAACTTAAAACTTTTGCAGGTTGAACTAATTTTACCTCTTAAACTTAAACGTTCTTGCTTTCTCGACCTTTTTTAAACTTTTTTGTAAGTGGATAACAAAGTATACAAAGACAACTCCTTAGTTACAAGATTGTTAAATTTTATAGAATTAAAGACCAAAACGAGATCCCTTAATCTGAATAACCAATGTGGACACTTTTAATTTCCTGCTTAATCCGCTTTTTTATCTCCGTCAGTTTCCGACCAATCAGAGTTCTCATTAAATGGCGCGCAAAATGTCAAATTTCCTCGCTTATCTGATTGGCTGTTTCGGTTTTAGAATCGTCACTTGATTGGTTGAGTTCGAAGACTATTATCTTTGGTCGAGTTATACACACTTTTGTGGATACAAACTAAAGATTGAAATAAATTAATCTTGAGATTAAGAAAACGAGAAGATGAAACATTGTTCTCGATATCCACATTGTTAAGTTTTCATCTCAGAGCCTGCGCGTTCTCTCTGTAGATAGTGGTCGTGTAGTTCACATATATTGGGGGAACGTTATGTTGGCCGCTAGATGTTTCATGCTAAATTCTTTAATATCTTCATACACTTCACGACCAATATACGAAACGTAAGTTGTTGACCATAAAGTTTATGGTAGAAACGGCCTCAGGGTGCAGTGTACAGCGTGCTGGAAGCTTTTAATCAAATCATGCGCTGGAATATTTCAATGATTCTAGACTTTCTTTAGTTATATAAATTTTAGACAGAGAGACGACTGCATAGAATATATCAAGTGTTTAATAATAGCATTTTTATTGCTTCTAGAAATAAAAGCATGATAAATAACGGGGATATTGTAGAAATACGTGAAAAAATTTGCTGAAAAGTTTCCCCTTTTTTCTCTATTTGGTTTGTTTAAACATATACACCAACTGTATTGATAGATTGTATTGTTTCATGCAAACAATAGTTTAACATTGTGTCGATTGTGCTAAAGCGTTAAGAAAAATCAATACGAGATTGATCAATAGCTCTAATTTTCTCAGGTCTCCAGACTGCAGGATCTAATTAATTTTATTATTTCCTCTACTCTCTCAACCTAGATCTAGAGAGCTAAATACCACTCTTTACTAATCCTGCTTGGTGGTATTAAGAGTAGATCATCTACCTTACGAACCTTTCGCGTTCTATAGAAGTGTAAATACTGGCATGATACCAGTATTACACAGAGGGTTGTTACCTAAATCCAGCCGCAGGGTGGTATTTAGGGGGATAATTTGGTTTAGACCCCAAAATTTTTTTACCATATTTAACTTCTAGGGAAAATAAAAGATTTCCTCGAGAATACCCAATAGTGCCTGTGAAACTGATAGATTTTAAGGACTTTTTTATTTTTTATAATGATCCAACTTTGTAAAAATATCTTCCACCATTTTGAATTTTCGCTTTTTCTTAATTAAAATATTTAACAAGTTTCTGAAAAATTATAAAAGATACTAATATTTACAACTTAAGTTTAAAACAAATGTACGCCTTGCTAACTTTATTTCATATGAATACGATAACATATTTATAGTAATCAGTTAATAAGAAAATCAGCAGTGCAAAACTAACTAAAAAATTTACCAAAAATGCGTTTTCTGTTGTTTAGGGCCCGAGTCTACTGATGTTTTTTATATTACATAGCTAAAACCTTAAGATACCGGGGAGGGGGTAATCAAAGGCAAGTTGGAAAGAAAGAAGATATTTTTTTTTAAACCACAAGGGGGGGGTGTAAGTTTTATAAATCATATTAACAAAACATGGATCATATAGACATTAATAGAATAAAAACGTGAAATGCTGCCAGCTTAAAGTTTAGTAAAACTCAGTAGAAACAATTCCATTTGATATTTTTCAATGAACTAGGTAGGATAAAAGGGTAGGTACTACATCACCCACTCTAAGTAAGGTTCACAAGTACTCTTTAGTCACTGAGTAGGATGGTGCCTATTTCCTTACTATCCTACAAGTAGGTTAGGTAGTTACTCAAGTATTTACTCTTTGACCCACTTAGTAGGATAGGTAGGTACTCGAGTATTATAACCCACGAGAAGGATGAGTTGGTATGTACTCTTTGGCCTACTTAGTAGAATAAGTAGGTATTCAAGTATACACTCTGTGACTCACTGAGTAGGATTGGTTTGTACTCTATGACCCATTGAGAAGGATGAGTTGGAACTCAAGTATGTACTCTATGACCCACTGAGTCGGTTAGGTAGGTACTCAGTATTTACTCTCTGACCCACTGAGTAGGTCAGGTAGATACCTACATCCTGAATAACCTACTGAGTAGCACAAGAAACCCCTGGACCGTGAGCACCGTGTTGCATCTCGTCCTCGTCATACTGTTGCCTCTGTGCACTCTGTCGGTCATTCTAAAATATAAGCATATTATGTCTTCGGTTTGATGATAAATGTGATCTTAGGATTTTTGACCATATCTGGTGACAATTTCCAATCTGAAATGTATTGAATCTCCATGTTTGCCTAAACTCTAGAACCCATTTTCCTAATTACTCTCATTAAAATTGTGAAATAAAACCCTTATTTAATACCAGCCTCAGTTTAACAAGAATAAAGTTATTTATTAATTGGATTTTTACACAAAACGGATCACGGATTCGGATCCGGATCAAGAAAGAAGAGATTCTAAACTCTCCTTTAAACTCACCTTAGGGTCGAAATCTTGAAGGTCAACTTCGTCATGATCATCCGGGATAATAGCTTCTTCACTGAACAATAAAAAACATGAAAAATAAAATCAAAAAATAATTATGGCAAATTATTGAATGATGCTTAAAAGGATTCAGGATGCAATGTGCAACATAACGAAAAATTCCTTTTTCAAAGATTAACTGGCAAACTTAGAAACCTCACGACTCCCTGAAATTGAAGTACGATGTACCTGGGAGGAAGGATTTTGGCCAGCTGCTCCGATATCTCCGGAGACAAGGAGTCTGGGAACACAACGTTGAATGAGATGATAAGACGTCCCTTCTCAAATGGATTCCTGTACTGTGGCATACCCTCGCCCTGGACTGCTTTGAAATCTCCGGTCTTGATCACTTCACCTTAATATTAGATCAATTTAGATAAATTTCACATGATTTGTTCAAAAATTAAAACAAAGTCATGTACTTGGATGAATTGTAGAGGTCGTTGAACTACCTACCACCGGTTCAAATCCTAAATCAGCGATTCAAATCCTTGTGAATGGATGAATCCAGATTCTAACCGGCGATAGGTAGATCAGCGACCCAGCTCAAATTCATTAAATTTTTTCCCAGGTTAATTTTTCTGTTGACAAAAATGAGGACAATTCTACAAAGTTTTTTTAACCCTAAATTTTTGACATACCAAGACACAAGCTATGCCGAGTAAAAATCTGATAGTCATCTTAATATTTTTTATTTAGATATTCATTCCAAACCTTATTTAGGCATTTAGTCGCTAAAAAAATGAGCAGATATGTAAAAAAAAGGGAGAAAAAAACTTTTTTTTATTTAATTTCTTGTTTTTTTCACTTTCGAAATTTTAACCATTAGTAGTCGAAATTGTTGAATAATGAAAAGTACTTGAACTACAATACCTAGTTCAAATACAGACTCCGGACTCATTTTACCTGGAATAGTCTGAAGAACTAGAGTTCTATCATCCAGGGTTTGGACTGTTTTCTTCATCCCGCAGAGTGAATCTGTCAAACTTATATCCATCTTCATAATTAGATCCATTCCACTCCTCTTGAACACCTAGATAATCATTCATTTATTCATTTTCATTATTAGATCCCTTCTACTCCTCTTGAACACCTAGATAATCATTCATTTATCCATGTTCGTTATTAAATCCATTCTACTCCTCTTGGAACACCTAGATAACCATTCATTTATTCATGTTCGTTATTAAATCCATTCCATTCCTCTTGGAGTTGGAACACCTAGATAACCATTCATTTATCCATGTTCATTATTAGATCCATTCCACCAAGGAGGATTGAATAGAAGGAGGGGTCGCTAGGGTTTCCGTACACTTTGCTGTGACGTTTTTGGACTGCTGAAGAACTAGTTTTTGCGTGACAACAATAACAAAGGCAGCCAATCTAATGTAAACAAACATGAGTTAGTATACGGTGAATCTTCATCTAACGCCAGAGATGCGCCAGATGTCAGTTTATCATTTGTGTTATTGTTTACAATCTTTATTTTTGTTTTACAGCAGTCCAAAAACGTCACAGCAAAGTGTATGGAAACCCTATCGCCCCCTCCTCCTATTCAATTCTCCTTGCATTCTACTACTCTTGAACACATAGATAATCATTCATTTATCCATGTTCATTATTAGATCCATTCCACTCCTCTTGAACACCTAGATAATCATTCATTTATCCATGTTCGTTATTAAATCCATTCCACTCCTTTTGAACACCTAGATAATCATTCGTATATTCATCCATTCTTTACTACATTCATCCTTAAATAAATTTATCCTTCTAATCTTCTATTCATTCTCCCATTGATACGTTCAAAAAATAAAAATAAAATCATCCTCAAATCAGTGCATTTGTTCAGGACTAGTTACTTTAAACATTTTTCATCCTTCACTCATCCATCGACATGCTTCGAGACTTCGACCAAATGACGAATAGCTCGATGTCTTGTGACGTAATAAAGGACCTATGACGCCATAACTTAATAACTTTATGACGTAATATTCCAATGAGTAATAAGTTGACGACGTAGTGTCAAATTTTTTTCAAAAATATATAGCAAATATATCTTGTAATAATACCCCTATAGAGACATTTCTTCATTGATATATTCTTTTTTGATTATCTTAAGATACTATAACAAGAAACTAGAATGAATCTCAGAAAATATACAAGAAAAATTACAAGAAATCAACATTGCTCTTGGAAGGAAAATCCAGACAAAAAGCAAAGCAGGGGTTTACAATTTTCAGAATTACGTACCCCCGTCCCCATGGGGGAATAATTTTTTATGAATCGGGGAAAACGGGACATCAAAAGGCAAGTTTATTCTTTCTGTTAGATACTTAAAACCCAAAACATTATTTATTTTTTCGACGCTCCCGCAACCATATATTTATAATATATATATAACTTCATAAATGATCTTATAGTAAAATATACACCCCTGGAGCAAAGATTACAAAGGAGCCACCTTTTACCTCATTTATTTGACTCAGTTCAAAACGCGAATATCCTTTTAATTTTTGATTTTAAAGAATTGTCAGAATTCACGTTCGTCGGTTTAATGAATGGCAGTTAATAGATTTAATAACATATTGGACGATTAACGCAAGTGACCGATGGTGCCCGTTATTATTACTATCGTTATTAACATTATTATTATTATTATTATTTTAACTTTTATTATCATCTTTGGAAAAAACGTCATATCCTTAAGATGGGGCCGGCGCTCCTCCTTATCCCGTGGTATTCTAAAAATCGGCAGCAGAAAATGCAAGCCTAATATAGGTTGACCGGAGGAGCAAATAAAATTGCATACTATAATTTTTAAAACCATTATTATTAACGGACAATCTTGCATTCGATGATTAGTGGTCGGCGTTCCTTTACGCCGAAGCGAATCCAATATCCATGGTTCCTCGCCGCCAAAGCGAATCCAATATCCATGGTTCCTAGCCGCCGAAGCGAATCCAATATCCATGGTTCCTAGCCGCCGAAGCGAATCCAATATCCATGGTTCCTAGCCACCGAAGCGAATCCAATATCCATGGTTCCTAGCCGCCGAAGCGAATCCAATATCCATGGTTCCTAGCCGCCGAAGCGAATCCAATATCCATTGTTCCTAGCCGCCGAAGCGGATCAAATATCCATGGTTCCTAGACGCCGAAGAGAATCCAATATCCATGGTTCCTAGCCGCCGAAGCGAATCCAATATCCATGGTTCCTAGACGCCGAAGCGAATCCAATATCCATGGTTCCTAGCCGCCGAAGCGAATCCAATATCCATGGTTTCTAGACGCCGAAGCGAATCCAATATTCATGGTTCCTAGCCGCCGAAGCGAATCCAATATCCATGGTTCCTAGACGCCGAAGCGAATCCAATATCCATGGTTCCTAGCCGCCGAAGCGAATCCAATATCCATGGTTCCTAGACGCCGAAGCGAATCCAATATCCATGGTTCCTAGACGCCGAAGCGAATCCAATATCCATGGTTCATAATTTGTTCCTTTTTGCATAGGTTTTTTCGCATGGTCGAAATTTGGCATAGTGAAAGCAACTGTTAAAAAATTATTTATTCTCGAGATTTTCAATACTTTGCGAGCGTGTTAAAACAATTTTTTCTAGAATGTTTTCCCTTGATCTTTTAAGAATAAAAATATTGCTATGTTGAATAAGGAGGAATTATAACCGAATCTAGTTTTAATAAGTTTTATTAGATTTTAAAAAACAAACCAAAGAGATAACACTATTTAAATTTTCTTATTCTTACACACAAGCACGTACTATTCTGTTTATTTCAGATGGGGGGGGTATTTAGGAAGGGGGAGGGGGGCTGGACTGTCGTTTTATTTACAGTGTTAGACAATTATATCAATTCCATGAAGAAGAAGAATTTTTTATTAAAGTTTTAAAATTATAAACAAGCTTTTTTCGAATTAGAAGATAAGCTTTATTAATTATATCTTCTCTCGACTTCCATGTTTATGTATATCTTTGCTGTTAAACAGCTTGATATAAATTAAAATCTAAATCGAGGAAAAGCTAAGGAAAAGAGTTTCAGTAGGCGGGTAAAAACTGAGGAAAAAGAGTTTCAGTAGGTGGGTAAAAACTGAGGAAAAGAATTTCAGTAGGCGGGTAAAAATTGAGTAAAAGGAGTTTCAGTAGGTGGGTAAAAATTGAGGAAAAAGAGTTTCAGTAGGCGGGTAAAAACTGAGGAAAAAGAGTTTCAGTAGGTGGGTAAAAACTGAGGAAAAGAATTTCAGTCGGCGGGTAAAAAATTGAGTAAAAAGAGTTTCAGTAGGCGGGTAAAAATTGAGGAAAAAGAGTTTCAGTAGGCGGGTAAAAATTGAGGACAAAGAGTTTCATTAGGCTGGTAAAAGCTGAGAAGTGTCGGTAGGCGGGAAAAAATGAGGAAAAGTAGGCGGGAAAAATGAGGAAAAGTGTCGGTAGGAGGGTAAAAACTGAGGAAAAGAATTTTTAGTAGGCGGGTAAATACTGAGGAAAAGTGTCAGTAGGCGGGTAAAAACTGAGAAAGGGAGTGACAGGAGGCGGTGGGGGGTGAAGCTAAGGAAAAGGGTGTCAGTGGGTGGGTAAAAAAATGAGGAAGGGAGTGACAGTGGGCGGGTAAAACTAAGAAAGGGAGTGAGTCTAAATAAAAAACATTCTCCGAAAAAATAAATGAATTTAAAGTATAAACAGAATCTATTTTAAAAGACTCCTCATTAAGAATATATTCCCCTAAATGAATTCTATATTACCTGATCTCCTTCTTCTGAGAAGGTGATCTTCTGTCCATCTTCCATTCCTTTATCTACATTCACCTAAAAATAATTTTTGATAAGATTCATTCATAGATATAAACCGATTTGCCTCAAATTTATATTGGGGAACTCGGGAAAACCACGGGAATGTTCTTAGCTTAGTTTTGAGATTCTAAGTTGATAAAAGCTAAAATAGTAATTTACGGCCAAGCACAGGTAAACGGCAGTATTTATAAGTACCCTGGGCAACGCTGGGTTCTGTTCTCAAAGTGTTGGGTCAGTTTCAACAAGAAAAATTAACGAGGGGGGGGGGGGGGGGGGGGGCAGAAAGGACGAGAAACTTAATAGTCAAAGCTAAGTGTATCAGACAAAACAAAATATATTTTCCGTTTTCCTAAATGTCTCGACTATTCTTCAATGATATAACAGAAAAAATGCAGTTCGGAATCAAAAGAACAGGAATATTAACTAAGTCTTCAGTTGATGGACATAACTAGATAATAGATATCCTTAGTTTCTACATGAAAATTAATCAATTGAAGTTGTGGTTTCTCTTGCAGATTGTGCAAAAAAAAAAGGTAATTATCAGAATTACGAAATTTCAGAAAAAAAAACGATGTGTTTGATTTCCTCGATGTATTTTACTATATTTTCTGGATAGGGGTACTAGGGCAGGGAAAAAAGGGAATTCTGCAGAGGACCCAACCCTTTGATTACTCACCTCTAGTATTTTCCTCTCCCTGTTCACCTTCTTCCCGTTACATTTCTTACAACGTAGCTTGGGGTCAACTGATTCTCCCTCTCCGTGACACTCCTAACGCATTGGTCATTGAAATAATGCTGTTGGTTATATGACGTATTTAAACTCACAAATAGGTTTTTAAACACATAGATCCAAACTACGGTAAAAAGTTGCACCTATTTTTAGGCGTTACTTTTCGGCCCTTTTATTTAACCACACTACGCTTTTTATAGCCCTGGACATATACATTTTAGAGCACTTGTTTTAGTCTTCAGCATTTAAAAAGTGATTGGCAATATTAGCATAGATTTTAGCACGAGAGCTTGCAACCTGTAAATCTCTGTGTTGTAAATATACAATTTTACAAGCCCGGCTTTCCAACCATGTCCAAAAAATCAATCTTTTTTATCGTTTTGATGAAACAAGTTATCATTTAATCAAAAATGAAAATTAAAAACGATTTTTTTTTCGAATCCACCTACATCCCATTTTATTGAACATGTAGTTGGCCATTATTACTTTATTTACACATTTACGCTCACAACCAACACATCGTTCTTGTTGTATTTTTTTCACTTCCCCCCACCTCACTCAAAAGCACTGCGTCTTTTTTCTACCCTACTTGAATTATCTGAATTCAAGTAGGGTAGAAATTACCTGGCACATGGATTGTATCTGCTGCATCATACCAGGCCCAATCTGCTGAATACGGATCTAAACGAAACAAAATTTTATTTTAGGTGTATATATTATGTTTAAAAATCATCACCGCCTTTTGCTTACCATTGCCGACCCATAATTCCCCCAACAGAGAGACTTAAGGTTTTTAACGTCCCCTGGGACAATTTAATACAGGAACGACCCGCTCTGCGCAGTTTGTGAAAATTTGCACATTTTCGTCTCAAAAGACGATAGAATAGTTTAAAACTACTTTTTCGAGAAATTATACCATTTTCTTAACCACAACCACAGGTTTAATCAGCCACTTTTGTCTAAATGCGATCTGAGCCCGCGATTTAAAATCTTCGGCTCCAACCGTTATTCCTTAAACTATACTTTAAGACCCAATCTTCGACCCAACTCTGACGACAGCTTATGTCACGTGATTGACAGCTGCAAGATCTTCGGCTCGAAAATAAAACCGACCTTGGTTGGTTTTAGCGGAGAAACAGGCTTGTCTGTTGAGCCAATTCCTACCATGAATATCCGCCAAAAAGAATATTAAACCGGTTTTAGAAATCAACTCTGTGGAAAATAACACGCAGCTTGAATCTGAAAGCTCAAGTCGTATATAAGGCCTAACGACAGCTTAAACAGTCGTATTTTCCTTAATTTTTTAAATCGCGGAATATGGATGTTTCAGGCAAAATTGGTCTTGAGAAGTAAACTTCCCTTAGTTTCCCTGTTGAAGTAGTAAGTAGGCAACCCCCCCCCCCCCCCCCCCTCCTAGATCAAACTTGACATTTTTAACGCGGAGTAGAAGAAAAATGACAGAATTTTTGGACAAAAAACATGGAAAAGAACGAGGATCTTAAAAACATTTCTAAAGAAAAATTCTTATATGACCTGCATTCCGGAGCCTCGGCAGTTCCCACACTTCTGGAAACATCCAGGTTTACCACCAACACCTGGATAATGTCAAGTATTTATTTAGTTATTACGGGGGGGGGGGATTCAAGGGGAAATTATTTTCAAGAGAATTTACACCCCTCGAAAATAGCAAGTAGCAACATTGTTACTCCTTAATTATTTCCTGTGGATTTTTTACAGAATTGATATAGATAGTAATTATGTAAAATCACAATATGACAATTTTATCAAAAATCTAAAATATATAACAATACCTTCACAAGAATCACAAATTACGTTTTTCTGGAGCGCCAGCTTACGTACAGTTCCGTTGTACATATCCTCCAGAGTTACACTAAGCTGGTGTACAAGATTCTTTGTACGACGAGGTCCACGCTGCCGCCCACCGCCGCGACCAAAAGGATCGCCGCCGCCGAAGAACATGTCGAAGATGTCCATGGGTGAGTGGAATCCACCTCCACCGCCGCTACCGCCTTCTTTGATTGCTTGTTCACCGCCTTGGTCGTAGATCTTTCTTTTGTCTGGGTTAGAAAGCACCTAGAAAAATGGTGGACTTAAAACTTGAGACTATACTAGTGACAATGACTTAAATTAACTTAACTAAGCAAAATTATTATTGATTTAAGATGCCAGCCCAAAGGCATCAAGAAATAAAAGATTATCAATCAATTCATCATATTTAATATTTTGTTCGTGCACAAAATTAANGGGCTAAAAATGATTTAATTCTAAAAAATTACCAATGTAAAAATTTCATATACAAATGGATTACAAACCTCATAAGCGAATGATATTTCCTTGAATTTGTCTCCAGCATTAGGATTCTTGTCAGGGTGATATTTCATCGCAAGTTTTCTAAGCAAAAAACTTAATCATTTTTAATCATTGTATAATTGTAATTATGCAGGGGTATAATATACACTATACAGTGACAACCATAGAACCAGTGCTTAAGATCCATTTAATTTTGATGCGGATCCGGATCCTGGATCCGCACTGTAAAAAATGGATCCGGATCCAAATCCAGAACCGGATCCAGGCCAAATCTTAAAGATTTAATGAATTTTTGCAATTTTTTTGTGTTATGTTTTTCGCTTATTTTTATCCTAAAACTTGAACCATTCAGAAATGAGGAAATTTTTATAATCTTTATTTTTACAAAATTTCAGAATTGGGTTTTAGGGGTATAAAGTTTTTTTTGCAGTTTTTGGTTGATATGGTATATTCCTAGAGAACGATTTTTGGACCCTCCCCCCCCCCCCCTATCAATTTTGTACATGGATCTTATGTTAGAAATGGATCTAATTAACCATTTGGCCGCAGCGCTCGGCCCCCTAGCCTGTCCTAGAAAGTGTCTTAACCTAACCTAACCCTAAACAATAATAAATAAATACTAATTTTAATTTCGTCATGTACAAAATTAATAGGGGGGGGGGGCGGGGGGCCAAAAATCGTTCTCTAGGACGGACCCGTTGATATTTTACCGCTTAGATCCTAAGCACTGCATATATAAATTTCATTAAAAAATAGTAATTTGCAACTGAAATTTTTCTAAACAAAAGTTACAAAAATGACGAATAACAAAAACACAACAACAACATTCCACTAATGGTAATTTCCTAGAGAAAATTGCCAATTTGTTGCTATATAAATAATTACAAATTTATAAAATTTACCTATAAGCTTTTTTCAAGGAACTATCGTCGGCAGACGGCGCAACACCCAGCAAATCGTATAATTTCGTTTCTTTCACCATTTTAAAGGTTTATACTTTCTAAAACATATCAAATTAACGATTATAAAACTTAAAAATAACTTTAAATAATTAGTGTTAATACACAAAGGTTTTATAAAAAGCGTGTTTTAAAGTACGTATCAATCGGCACAATGAGGACCGCTGTAAACAGCTGAAAATCAGTATTACTCCGAAATCTTCTAGAACCTTCCAGAGTGTTCTACCAGGATGTATGTACTCTGCACAATCTTTTCATTTTTAATCCCCTACAATTATTTTATTTATTTTCAAAATCGCAAAATTTTCAGTATTTTTTTAAAAGTATATACAACACTGGGCCTCATTGAATTGTAATAAAGAAAACAAATGTCGTCTTCTTATTTAGATTTATTTAATTATTTTCCAATAAAATTGAAAATATTGATTTAAGGACAAACGTATAAAAATAAAGTTATTGATCTTATATATTCTAATTAGGTATTTAAGTAAATTTATCGATCAAATGTTATCATAAAAGAACTTTTTTATGACGGGATTCCAGGCTCCATGAATTCCAGTTTTTCACATAAATAAAATAATTTAACAAATATGTAAATTTCAGGTGAAACAAAATGTTTACCTGTATTCATGGGGGGGATCA